TCGGCCCCACCTTTCCATTCCCAAATTTCAGTTCAGTCACACCTCCTGGAGACAGAGAAAGCATCCAGATTTGTAATATACAAAGCCTACCTCCACCCTCCCCAAAGCCCTTGGTTTCACGTACAGAGACAGCCAAGACATTTCAAGCCTGAGTGCAATTGGCAGCTAGAGAGTGCTATTTGACCACCAGATGCCACTCTGTAACCTTGAAGGATACTGTATGTGATTAGCAGATGTTTGTGGGCAGAGTGACAAGTTACGAAAGTGACCAAGACCTTCTGATGGTCAGAATAGTTGATACCTCACATCTTTTCTCACCTCCCCAGCCCTTCCAGCCTTGACCATCACCTCTAACACCCGTTGGGACAGATGGGCTTCCAGGTGTGAGAGAGCCAGCACCAACAAAGGCCTGTCTAAACCCAGGTATGTCCTCTAAAGCCAGTCTACAGGGCAGAAGGTAAACACAGTGTGGCTTGTTAGGGCAGAAAAACTAGAAACTAGTGTCCATCAACAGGGTACTGGCAAATCAAATCATAGCAGAGCCACGCAAGCCTGAAATTCTACAGAATGAAAGAAGACCAAATGTGTTTACAAGTAGCATGATTCCAGTGGGTAAAATGATTGCTGTGCAATCGGTCGTAAAGAATTGAATTCAGTTCAGTCGCATTAAATCCAGGCATAGTGGCACCCATCAGGAACCCAAGTATTGGGCAGGAGGAGACAAGGGAGCCCATGGGAATCATGATCCAGCCAGTCTAGACAAAATGATGAGGTCCAGTTTCAGTGAGAGACTCTGTCTCAAAATATAAAGTGTAGCCTGGTATGGTTCCACATACCTTTAATCAGAGCACTCAGTAGGGGGAATCTCTGTGAGTTCAAGGACAGCCTGGTCTACATATTGAGTTCCAGGCCAACTAAGCCTCCATGGAGACCCTGTCTCAAAAAACAAGGTGGAGAGAGACAGTGGAAGGCAGCTGTCAATCTCTAACCTCTAAACATCACACAGGCTAGTGCACAGAGACAGAGAGAGAGAGAGAGAGAGAGAGAGAGAGAGAGAGAGAGAGAGAGAGAGAGAGAGTTTCAGAAGATAAACATCAAATGGGAAAAATAAGATTAGAATTTCAAGGCCAGCCTCAGTTATACAGCAAGTCCCAGTTCAACACAGGCTGCATGAGACCTTGTCTTAAAAACAGCTGAATAATTAGCCAAGCAAGGGGCTCAGCACTCAGCAGACAGAAGTGCTGCTGTACGTGCCTGATAACCCGAGTTCAGTCCCTGGAACCATGTATAGGTGGAAGGGGAGAGCCAACCCCGCAAAGCTGTCCTCTGGCCTATGCACGTGTCCTCTGGCCTATGCATGTGGGCCCTGTAGCACACACACACACAATACAGATAAGTAAAGAATCAAAAAAAAACTAAACAAGCAAAAAAGAAATGCTGGGTCCTCACAATACACGTAAGAAACTCTTCGATGGAGATTGCATTGGGTTTAAACTTTAAACAGCACCGCATCTCCATGCAACTCTGTCATAGTTGGACTGAGCTATGGCTAACTACTTGAGTTCTGTCACCTAGACAAATGTTCACCGATTGTAACTGAGATATCTCCTTTCAGCATTTAGAGTCAGGGAGATGGATACATGATCATTATTTTAGGTCCTCTAGAAGCTTAGGGATAGACATCATCACCGCTAAGCAAAACAAGCAAATACACAGAAGGTGCCAAGCCCTTCCTTGGAGGGTTCTAGATCAATTCAGGGGTCAGCCTTAGGCCAGAAGAAAATAAACCAAACTCATTAGGGAAAATCTGCTCTTTTTGGCAGCTCTTTCCTGAGCAAGCACAGAACTCGCCACTTGGGGGAGGAGGCAGAGACTGATCTCTATAGCTTGCTCCCCAGTTGACCTCATGAGCTGACCCTACCTAGCCTGTGGTCTGACCAGTCTTTCTGTGGCTCAGTCAGATCACTAGGCTCAGAATGGCCCACCCAGAGCCTCCAACCTGCTTTCCGAGCCATGCTGGGACTTGTTCTCCAGCTTCTGCTTCTGGGGATAGGCTAAGCACTGAGGCCAGGGGATAAACATCTGGTCTTGGGCAATATCTCCTGGCAGTACCTGTTGGCTTCACCCCTCCCTCCTGCCATTGCCACTAAATTCTTAAGTGAGAACAAGGAAAGGGCTCACTAAAGAATACTGAACATGGCCCAACCACCTGGCACCCACATGCACACTCATACATTATCCATACACATACTTCATGGTGTTGGAGAGGGGCCAGGTGACCTAGGGTTAAGAATCCAAATACCCAGATGAAGTGTCCAAGCCCACCAGTCCCCTCAGGCTGGGGATGAGACTCCTCCTGACCTTTTCTGAAATCAGGCCCAAAATATTTGCATCGCTCCAGAAGACTCCTAGCCCAGATCTCAAAGTTCTCCATCAGTCTAGGGACCAGGACTCTGCAAAGCCAGTCACAGTCAATGCAGGAAATAAGGAGGGTAGAGAGACCAGTGGGAGATGTGCCAATTCAGTGCCACCTTCACGGTGCCAGTAGCCAAGCAGATTCTCTTTCCCAAGGAGTTTGTCTTTGCACGGTATACCTGCCCCAGTGCAGCCAGAGGTGACAGCCCCTAGCACTCCCCCAGGTGCTAAGCAGGCTTAGGGCCCTAGTCTGGAAGTCAGTGGGGGGTGGGGTGAGGAGCTGGTGTGCAATTTAAGACACTCAGCTCTCAGAACCTTGAATGACACATCCCTGCAGTGGTTCAAAGAAGCAGGAGTCTCACAAATCCCAGGGCAGGAGAAAGGCCCACTATCAACAGACAGGGCTCTCTCCAAGGTCTGGAAAGAAGATCCAGTCTGGTACTCTTGGAGGTAGCAATCTGAGGACCACAGCCTCAAGGCCAACCTCCATCCCATGCCCCCTGAGTCTGAACAAACCCAACACCCAGGAACAGCACTGTCCTTTCATGAGCTGAGTCAGAGACCTAGTCAGAAAGGAAGAGTGAAATGTGGGGGGGGGGGGAACTTGAAAGAAGAGAGCTGGAGAAGGGGACAGACGGAGACAAGTGGCGGAAACTAATGCAGGATCCAGACCCATCTTGAAGGCCCTATAGGGCTGTAGAAGGGCCTGCATGCAGATATTCACAGAGGGTGTAAAGTACAGTCTTTCATGAGTGTGTGTGTGTGTGTGTGTGTGTGTGTGTGTGTTATGAATATGACTTGTCTGTGGTGGAGGCCAAAGGTGGCATCGGGTGTCTTCCTCTGTCACTTCCCATTTCATGTTTCAGACTGGGTCTCTCACTGAGTCTAAATCTGGCCCATTTGGCTAGATGGGCTCATCAGCAAGCTTCCAGGCTCCCCTTGTCTCCACCTGCCCAGGGCTGGGATTCCAGGCACACCCAGCTTTGCATAGATGGTTGAGAGCCAAACTTGGTACCCCACTCACACACAGACTGTACCCACTGATTCATCTCCCCAACTCAGTAAGCTCATTTTAGAGACTCTTGTCTTGATGACACCTAAACTGTTCTGTGCATAGCCACTGGGCTAAATCATTAAGTACCCATGTCGCAGGTCCAGGAAGGCTTCCCAGGTTAACAGCTGGTTTGGGATTTGGAGGTGAGAAAATATGTAGACCCTAGGACTCAAAGCCAGAGCTGGAAATGCTCTTTACAAGGCTACTCTGTGGAGGAACAGCTAAAGAACTCTCTCTACAGTGATGGCTACATCCATCTCTGTGCTGGGGTCAGGCCAGAGACACAGAAGTGAGCCAAGTCTACAGTTAGAACTGAGCTAATGGACAGGACAGTTCAAGAACAACAAAAAAGCATCCTCATGGCCCACCACTGGGAAGCAGGCAAACCGAAATGCTCACAGCTTAAATCCCTCCTATTGTATCCTTAGATGCAAACAGCTCTGGGGAAGGTAGAACCTTAAGCAAGGCAACCTCTGTAGCAGGGGCAGACCCTGCAGTTACTGGAAGCTGAAGGCTCTCAGATGACCACATCCCTCACAGCCACTAGACAGAAAGATCATGAGCAGGCCCTTTAAACTCCTCTCCAGGTCTTCCCCAATTCCCAGCCCCACCACTCCATAGTAGGTACCAGGCATCTATTGACTGGGTGGATGGATGAACATTTGAGATGATCTGGAAGTCTGAATAGGATTTGTGGAAATGGGAAATGGCTGGGAGGGATGCAAGCTGGGAAGCTGAGACAGAAGGTGTTGGTTGCAACCAAAGTGAGGTTACATGCTAAGACACAAGAGCACTAGAGAGTAAACACAGAGCATGGGAAGCTAAAGTTAGAGCCTGGGAACTACTAACACTTGAGAACTGTCAACATCTAGAAAGAATAGCCAAGGAAGGGAAACAGGAAAATGCAGAGTGTGGGAAAGAATGGAGCAGGAGAGAGGAGGCTATAGCATAAAGGCTAGGGAGAGGTCAAGTCAGATAAACACTGAAGTGCCCCTCAACTGGCCATTAGAAGGACAGGACTGGGTAAGAACAGACCAAGCCTGACCTGGGCCTGGGTCTCTGATATATACTATGGAGAAGTCTTCATTTGTTCATGTCTAATGCAGAATCTAACCTGACCAATGACACCCAAGAATCAAGTGACCTAGCCACTTTCCTTGGAGGGGGGCAGTAGAAGGAGCTCAGTGACATTTTAGAGTCCTTGGTCTTTGTCTACCTTGTATTCCTGAGGAGCCACCACCCTCTGGTTTGCCAAAGTTGGCAAGTCTACAGTTGCTTCCTGGAACCTGGAGTACCCAGTCAGTGCTTGACTTCAAAAAGAGGACACAGATGTCCAGATTCCCACAACCTCTGACTTGGGCTCCCCCCCACTGCCTGGACACCCCAAAAGTGGCCTGTTGTTGAGCTCAGTTTCAATGGGAACAGAAACTGGGTTTAAGGAAAGAGATTATTTACTTATCCCACAGAGAAGATAACCAAGTAAATAGTGCAATATCCTAAGTGGTACCCAAGCCCTGCCTACTACCTCTTGTGGGCTTCCTAGAACATATAAAAAGCCACCTGATGCCCCCACACTTATACACACTACTATACCACCCCACATCCAGAGACAGCCAAGCCTCCCAGACTCCACCATGAAGATTGCCATCACAATGGCTGTTGTCATGCTGTCGGTCTGCTGCAGCTCAGGTGAGTGCCCAGGGTCCCTTTCCCAAAGACAGAAGGAAGTGGCCAGTCCCTTTGTGGTGCCTGAGGGGCCTGGGTATGCTGACTCTCAGAAATGTTGAGTCTGATGACCATCACTATTGTGTGATCTTGGGGGAAGCCTTGAGCTGTTAGAAAGTTTAGAATCACACCTTCCAAATCCTGAACTCCTGCACCACAGGGACCAGGGAGGTCTGGACGGCAGATAGGGGGTGTCCATCTAAACCAGTACAGCAACCCAAAAATGGAGAAGGGATAAGGAGCCCGCTGAAGCCCAGTAGCTCAAGGCACCAAGAGCTCTTGACACAGCCTCCAAGTTAGGGGGCACCCCACCCAACTCTGGCAGGCAGTCTAAAAGGGGAAGTACAGAGACTCTTGCCCCCTAACCCAAGGCCAAGTCTCTTGCTCTGGGAGGAAAGGAATATTCCAGAAAGAGATCTTCCCTTTGGGAAACTGCCAATCCTGGGTGGAGTTTTTTAAACATTCTGTCCTCTGTGAAGAAAGGAGTGAGAAAGGAAGGAGGGAGGGAGGGAGGGAGGGAGGGAGGGAGGGAGGGAGGGAGGGAGGGAGGGAGGGGGGCCAATCTATCTCCCTCCATCCCTCCAGGCATTTTGTGCTTCCAGAATGAGGTTAGGAAAACTTCTCCCTCCATCAGTTTCCCCCACTCCTCTCTGATAATGCTGTATTTTTTCCTAAAAACAAACCCTAATTAATGTACTTGAAAAGACGCATAATGCCTGTGGATACAGGTTTTATGACCAAGGGGATTTAGACCCCAAATCAAGGCAAAGCGGGAGTGCCTGTTTTTTGTTTTCAGGGGAAATGACATCACTTTGGATTAAAATGCTTATTAATTAGGTATCAGTGCTGTGCACAGAGGTGGGTGGACTGGCAAGATATTTGCATAGCAATGTGTTCGCATATTAAAGCTCTGATGGTAAAACTAGTTACAGCTACTTAAAATTTGCTAGTCACTGTTGTTGGGGAAGTCTTATGCCAATAAAGCACTGTCTGGCCAATAGGAATCTAGATAGGAGGGACTAGGAGTCCAGGAGGATTCTGGGTAGGAGAAACACGAGGAGAGTCAAGATGTAATGCCATGGAGGTAGGAAGCTTGGAGCTATTCGCCGGTAAGAGAAATACTTAGATTAACAATTATGGGGTAATTACTTAAGTCAGAGCTAGCCAGTAAGAAACAAGCAAGGCCAACAGCTTTATAATTAATATAGTCTCCTGTGTGTTTATTTTGGACTGATGTGGCTCTAGAACCAGGCTGGCGGGAAGGATTCTCACAAGAAAAAGCTTCTTTTAACACACTGTCTTCAGTCATTTTACACACTATCCATTTCATTTTCATAACAATCCAATGAAGTAGAGATATTGTTCCCATTTTACATATTAGAAAACTGAGCCCCTGGAAAATGAAACACCCTGCCTGGTGACATTATGGAGAAAGTTTAAGTTGGAGTAACCATTGTTTTGGTTTTGAGACATGGTCTCATTTTGGCCTGAATTCACAGCCGTCCTGCCTTAGTCTCCCCAGTGATATGAGTTATTAACAAATATGAACTTTCATATCCAGCTGGAGTGACCATTGGAATAGGGGTGGGGTCCTGAGTCAAAGCATTAAGGCCAAATTTGCACACAATGCAGAGAATTCCAGGGCAGAAGATTTGAGACTAGGTTAGAAGATGGAGGCAAACAGGGCTCACTTAAAGGCTGTGTTGCATGCCCTCAGTAACACATGGCACAGACCTCCGCTAGCTGTGGGTGCGGAGCATTCTGACAGAAAGCAAGGTTCCCAGAGGCCTTCTCCCAGCCCCCATGCTGCAGCAAACAGCCAGACTGGCAGCTTCTGTTACCCACTGTGTCTAGAACAATGGCAGAAATCATGGCTAACCCAAGCCAGGAACTGAAAGGCGGCTCAGGAAAGCCAAAAGCTGGCTGTAACCTAGAAAGTGTTCACATGGTACCAGATTTCCACACTTGGAGCCTCACCAATCTTACATTCTACGCCATTGCCCAAAGGCTGCTATCTCCTGCTGACCAGACTGAATGGTCCAGCAGGGCGCTGGCCAGCTTTTAGAGAATCTGGGTCCATGTGATTTCTTTTGCCTGCACTCCAGCTTCTTCAGACACCTGCCCGGGATTTTTTCAAGTCCTTGAGTTCCTCTTCATGGGCTCAGAGTCCAGTTATGAGGCAGCCCTGAAGTTTTACAACCCTGGCTCAGACCTGCAAGATTCAGGGACCCAGTTGAAGAAGCTGGTGGACACCCTCCCCCAGAAGACCAGAATGAACATCATGAAACTCTCGGTATATTACTTCAGTCACTCGCATTGCTTCTAAGTGGTTCCCCAACTACTGTTTCTGGGGAGTTACAAGGCTAATAGATGTCCTTGTTATGTTCCTTGCCTTCTTCTTGTTTGTGTGTGTGTGTGTGTGCGCGCATGCACACACGTGCATGCTTGGTTTGGGAGTGGGCAGGGTTCTCTCTGAGCTAGCCTCACTGTCCTCCAACTCCTGGGGTCAAGTGTTCTTCCTACCTCAGCCTCCTGAGTAGCTGGGGCTACAAGCTTGTACCAGTTCACCCACCTCCGCTGATTTTCCCCCAAGAATTTTGTTTATTTTTTGTGAGTGTGTATGTACGTGTCGAACACGTGAAGGTCAGAGGACAACCTTTAAGGAATTGATTCTCTCCTTCCACCATGTGGGTCCTGTGGATCAAACTCAGGTGGTCAGCTTTGATGGCAGGAGTGTTTCCAGCTAAGCCATTTTACCTGCCTTTTTTATTATTGTAATGGCTTTTAAGAAAGCCATCCAAGGCCTTTTGCCCTGAGTTCCTCTCAGAACTCCCTGTGGCTTTTGTCTCTGCTAAGTCTGTGTACTTCATCTACTTCTGGGGGTCACTCACCATTACATGGGGTGTTTGTTTCTTTATTCTAGGAGATAATCCTAACAAGCCCTCTGTGCAATCAAGACCTAAGCGTCTAAAACTCACCAGACTTCAAAGACACTCCCTGATAACAGCCCCTGTCCTCGCCCTGTGCCTCTGTGACCTCCCTGCACCAGCCCTGCCTTCCTCTCTGCAATAAACTTCAAGCATCTGATTTGTCTGTGTTCACCAGTCTCTTTATCCACCTGTTGGAGCCGGAAGGTTGGTCCTGGAATGAGTGGAGTAAATGAAAACTGAGGGAGGGAGTCCTACCCTGGGGCCACACAAGGAACCCCAGAAAGCCTCTTTCCTCTCGGCTTCTGCGAAGTCCTCTAGCTGGGTCCTGCCATCTGTTCAAAGCTCAGCTTATCCCACAGACCTGATTACCACCCCTCCCTCCCTGAGTCTGGTCCAAAATGTTATTAGATTCTAACTCCATCTCTGGGCTATACTGTTCCAGCCAGGAGCCTGATGGGCATCCCTTAGCCCTTCCTTGTCCAATCAGCTGAGGAGACTTCTGGAGGCATTCACTCCCTCCATATCCACACCATCTTCCCTGGCTGCTACAAACCCAGAGGCCCCATGACAGGTTCCCAGCTGACTTATTGCTAAGCAATTCAATGAGTGCAACCTACCACAGGGAGTTTAATCACATGTAGGGTCTTACTTAGCAGCACCCACAACACACACTCCCCATCCTTCAAAGCACACAGCACACTGAACATAAACGTTCAAGTTCAGCACAAGGCCCATAGCAGCCCTCATCTGCCTCTGCTCACCCACACCCTCTGGCCCGCCCTTAGTGTCTAAAAGCCAAGCCCCACCTCAAGACCTTTGTACAGGCCACACATTATATCAGCTGCCCAAAAAGATGTTGTCGTTTGGTTTAGAATCTGTCCTAATATCAGTGAGGCCCCCACTGGAGCCAGGCTGCGCCATCCGAAGAGGTTAAATAAAGAGTGGGGATAGGAGGTCTGTGCAGAAGAGCTGCAGAAAGAGAAAGGGCTGAGGCAGAGGGCACCCAAACAAGGAGGCTGTGGGAGAGAATGCCAGCCAAGCAGCCCAGCCAGCGCTTAAAAGCTACGTGGGTGGGCGCGGACCACGCCTGCCTCGCGGGTCACAACCACGAGGGGGCAGTGTAGTCCACGCTGGAACTCTGACCAGGCCCCAACCCCTTGGCTTTGGGGAAGAGCAGATGATGAGAAGTCGTTCTCTAGCATCGATCTTGAATCGTTTCATCTCACTTCTAAAGTTTGATTTGGGAAAGGTTTTTAAAATCAGAATTGTGAGGAAAGCACAAGAACAGTGTGGCGCAGCTGAACCCCGCCAGTGACCAGTCAGTAATTAATTTGGAATTAACAGTAATTTTACTTCCAGAAGACTCTAAAGGTCATCCTGACAGATCCAGACTCTGAGATGGCTCCGAAAACAGAGAGCACCAAGAATCAGAACTAACCTCTACCTCAACCTGCCTGGTTTTAAAGTTCCATAGCAGAGCCTGCAATCTTAAAACCTTTATCTCTTGCTTTATGCTTGGCATGCATTAGCAGTATCTCTTTTATCTCTACACAACCCAGAGCCCAGGCCCAACTCCTGCCCTGCTGATGGCAGAACCTCCCACACAGGAATCTAGAGGGATGGCAAACTAGAGACAGTGACCAGAAAAGTCCACCTTAAACACCCATATGTGTACACACTGTTAAAGCTACCACGCCCGCTCCTTCATTGTCTGCCAGAGGAGGGGCTGGGATTGTAAAAATTCCAGGGCAGGTCAGGGGGGACTGTCAATCCCAAAGGAGATTATTTGTGACAGGCAGGGCCCTGGTGGGGACCTGCCCCACTCTCTCACTCCCAAGGCCCCAGATTCTCCTGTATCCAGGTCACTCAGTCTAAGGTGCCTACCTTTCCCTCACCGGACCACCCACCTAGGTGGGTTCCAAATGGAGAAGTTCCAAGACCATAGAAAAGTTCCAAATTTTAACTACCTGTCCGCTGTAGGGAAATATTTACCTTGCACACACACAATGCAAGTGACGGGGATAAGAGGAAGTGCAATTGTACTGCAGTGAGTCTCTGCCTTAAGAGAGCTTTGGTGATGAATGAGAATGTGCACTAACCCAAAGAAATGGACACTACCTTAGGTTCTTCAAACGCAGAATTCAGGGTAGGGAAGGCAGCTCATCTGAGAAAGTGTTCGCTGTGCAAACTCAGGTTCCCAAGCGCCATCCCCAGTACCAGCACCCATGCAAACAGCTGTGCAGGTAGCAAACCCCACACCCCAGTGAGAAAACCTGTCTGGGGAAAAAGGACATCTGGGATGGGCGCGCGCGCGCGCGCGCGCGCACACACACACTCCTCAGAATGCAAGAATGAACTGACTATAACCACAGGATATCTGGGGAGTACTTGTGAGATCTGAGGAAAATCAGGAACTGCCATTATTGTTTCTGTTTGTTTTCTCCTGGCTGGCTAAGCAAAGATCTTGGTCCATAAACTACAGCTGGAAGGCCAAGGTCGTGCCAAGGCTGGCTTGCTTTGATGTTTTCTTTTTTTTTTTTTTTCTTTTTTTTTTTTTTGATGATGACGTTGTTTTAAGGAACCTCAAACTAAGAATCGTTTTTTACATTTCAAGAATGAAGACAGGTTGGGTATATATAGTGATACCTGCCTTTAATCCCAGCACTCAGAGGCAGAGAAAGTCTGAGTTCTAGGCCAGCCTAGTCTAAATAGTGAATTCCAGGCCAGCTAGAGCTACAGAATGAGATCATCTCAAGGGAGAAAAAAAGGTGGGGAGGAGGAGAAAATTACACTTCTACATAAACGTGTGTGTACTTCTATAATTAGCATTTTCACTATGGATATGCAAAACTAAAACACAAGAGGATGGGCCTTTAATCCCAGCACTCGGGAGGCAGAGGCAGTTGGATCTCTGTGAGTTTGAGGCCAGCCTGATCTACAGAGAGAGTTCCAGGATAGCTAGGGCAATACAGATAAGCCCTGTCTCAAAAACATAAAACAAACAAAAACCACAGGAGGATGGTGTGCAAATGTGTACTTCCTGCATTTGAGAAGTATTAAGCACAAACTACGAAGACAAAATTAAATGTATGAGTGTGTATATATATATAATATATAATTTAAAACAGGGTACAGTGGTGCACATTTGGAAGGCAAAAGCAGACAGATCACCACAAGTTCAAGACCAGCCTTGTCTAGAAAGTTAAATAGCCAGGCATAGTGGCACACAGGAGGCAGGGTAGGCAGACCTCTGTGAATTCAAGGCCAACTTGGTCTATGTAGCAAGTCCCAGGCCAGCTCAGAACTACATAGTGAAGCTCTACTGAAAGAAAGAGGGGGAAAGGAGGAAGAAAGGAAGGCAGACAGGCAGGAAGAAAAGGAAGGGAACGGGGGGAAAAGAACATTCTAACATTCTATTTATTTAATAGCCTACTATTTATTTATGTGTTTATTTAACATTCCATTAATTTTAACATTCATAACTCGGGGAAGAGAAAGGCCATAATTCTTGGCGGCTTTGTGAAGAAAACTATGAATCTGGGTGAGGATGGAATTTTGAAAACTATGCTATCCTCATCATCTGCAACCACAGGAATTTTAGCCTGGAAGGTCTCTACAGAGGGACTGCCATTGCAGACTCCCAAGATCCATTGATTATCAGGAAAGCTGCTGTCTGACACAGGAGACAGTCAGGGTGAGCCTGGCAGGAAAAAAAATCTGTGACTCACAAGGCAGGAAGAGGAAAGCAAAACCAGCCCTCATCAGCCTTATCAAGATGAAGGGGATAAAATGCAGGCCAGTTTGCAGCTGACACCAGGCATGCTGTTTGCAAATACCAAGGCAGCTGTGGGTAGTAATTCACCACTACGTGATCAGTTGCTCCAAAGGGCTTCAAATAGATGATAAAAGAAGCCTTGATTGATGATGATAGAGCCGGCAAACAATGCACTCTGAAACCTGTAATTAGGTGACGGTCCTCCCAAGCACTTACTGAATATATCAACAGGCATATGAGAATGTGAAATGACTCATTGGTAGCAAGTCGCCCAGTGTGCTTCCATGAACTAAAATTATAAAATTATAGTATAGGCAAAAAAAAAAGACTGAAAATAGATTCAGCTAAGTAAGCATGATTGCCAGCTTCAGAATTGATAAACTGGGGCTAGGAACCTGGGTTTGCTTCCCTGGCAGTAACCAGGTGCCCAGCCCAGAACGCAAGACTTTTACAAAGTACGTGAAGCTAAGTGCCATAGCAAGCACCCACCCTGCAGACTAGGGCCTCTCACTGCAGCACTGCCTGGGAGTTCCTCCCTGGCTCCTATCAAGGAGCATGTGCTCTGTCTTCCTTAGGACAGGACAGAAATATTATCAGAGGCTCTCTGAAGCAGGGCTGAGGAGTACATCTCAGAGAAGGAAGGACTGTGGCCTTCTGGGATCTCCTGACCCTTTGACCTCAGGTGTCCATTTCAGTCTCTGAGTTCATTTCAACCCCTGGAATTCAATGCCTTTTCTCTGCCCCGCTGCCTGCTAGGCCTTCAGCACTGTTGCAAGTGACCTGTGAATTTGTTTCCTATGGTTGTCTAACAAACTACCACCAAGTTAATGGCTTAAAGCGCACACACCCAGCTCAGGCAGCCAAATGTCCACAATGGATCTTACTGGGATTTAGATCAAGGTACAAACAGCTAGACTTAGTGGGCTCACACAATAAACTCAGCATTTAGGAGGCTGAGGTAGAAGGATTGCTATGACTTGAGACCTACCTCAGAGGGGCAAAAACAGCAGGGACTGGGTAGACAGCTCAGTGGGTAAAGAGCTTGCTTCGCCAGCTTGGGGACTGAAGTTCAAATCCTCAGCACTCATGTAAGGAAAAAGAAATCAAAATAAAAAACAGCCAGATTCGGCTGGGCGGTGGTGGCACACGCCTTTAATCCCAGCACTCGGGAGGCAGAGGCAGGCGGATCTCTGTGAGTTCGAGGCCGGGCTGGACCGATAGCCTCCAAAACAATACAGAGAAACCCGGTCTCATAAAAACCAAAAAAACAAAAAACAAAAAACCAGCCAGATTCTGATGCTGGGAGGTGGATTAAGGGAGGCCTTAGAATCCTTCCCTGCTCGAAGTCTCCTGTGGGAGGGAGCACGGCCTGAGGAGAAGAG